CTAAGGTATTTTCTATAGTTCTTTATTGCGTCACATTTACTAGCAGGTACAGGGCCGTGTGTTCGGCCCCCTGGAACTTTTCAACCTTTTGCCTCATTTTCAGGCTTTGAACATAAAGATATATTCTAATTCTTTGTGAAGAATCAACAACAAGTGAGACACCATCATGAAGTGGAAAAAAATGTATTGGATATTTGAAACTTTTTGCCCATTCCTCCTTTTAAAACAGGTGGAGCTCAGTGAGGATGGATGGAGAGTGTTTCTAAACAGCCGTTTCAGTTTTTTCCTACGATTCTCTATTGGATTCAGGTCTGGACTTTGACTAGGCCATTGTAGCACCTGGATAGGTACCTAAGTGAACTGCATGTGATTCAAACCGTCTACCACTAAAAAATGAATTATTGAGAGACACTGCAATGTTTCTTCTTTAAAAATGATGCTTTAGCTAATCATTGCAGCCGTAATGGAGAAATTCAAGTTTGATTGAAAACAATGTGGACAGTTGCGTTTTAGACCTGTAACATGTGGAGGACAGGGATGCCTCTAGAAATGCAAACACAGAATTCCTGCTGTCTGATGCAACAAAATGAAGAGTAGATATAAGGATACTATAAAATTTGATTTTGTTCATTTCTGTTTCAGATTCAGTCTCACACAGCTGAATTTTATCTGCAGGAAAATAAGATGTCTCCATCGTTTGTTCGTGGAGAAACTTACATAAATAGCATTGTATCAAATTTTCCTCACTAAGTTATTTGCTGCTGCTTGTGCGAAGCTGTTTATTACGAGCAGATTTTGCACAAGCTGAGTGTTATTTACATTAAATATTCATGGATGAGATAGTATTTTCTCAGGAAGTTTAGTTGTGAGTAGATGGTGAACTGTGAGCCCTACAGCTCCGATTCTAACTCAAACGTGTGAATGGAAATATGCTAACAGAAAAATATTTACTAAAAGTATTTATTTTAAATTCAAAGTCTGACCTAAATTTTGCTGAATGTTAGAGCAACAAGGACCGTCTCTGCCCTTATTCCCTGAGATGCATTTTAATGTTCAGGTGGCAGGTGCTGAAAGGACAGCAGGTGCCTGCATTTAAATAACGCCCTGTTTAAAATCTTTTTACGGCATTTACAAAAATCCACCTGCAGCCATAAAGTCTCTGCAGATCCAGCTTCCTGCCTTCTGGAAGTGATTAATGCCCACACACTATTTATGTCTATGCTCAGGCAAATGAATCGGCTGGAAAAAACACAAAGCATTGCTGATAGATTATTATGGCTCCTTCAAATATTCAACTAGCTTTCTGATTCTTAAGTTATTGATGCTTAATTCTGTGTGTT